AAACTTGTATCATTGTTTATGTACTAATTTTGTGAAAGATAAGTAAGGGCAGATAGAGTAAACAGAGAAAAGTAGTTAAAGTAAGAAAATAATTTCGTTAAAGTGAGATCTAGCAGCGTAGTACAAAGGAAATAACTATTTACAAGTGCTATTAAAACTTGAGTAGAAATTGGTACAGAAGAATAACGAATAACAGGAATTCAATATTCATGTGATGTAATGAGTAGACAATAAGCACAGTTTTCAAACTGCGTTTGAATTATTGTAATTGGTACTGCAATTGTAATTGGTTGGTACAGTACGCCATGTTAATTTAAGAGCAAAAATCACGTTTTAACATTGAAAAATTTTAAACAAACTTTTCCGCGTCATGTATATCATGTATAGACACACAAGTTAATATTTTTCCAAAAATTTTATTTTGTACGTGGTTACTGCAAATGTCCGTTGTGAATCTGCAAAAATCTCATTATAGGACACATAAGAATATGATCGTTAAACAGTAACAATTTTTGTTAACGTTTACAGATTTTCGCATGAAATAAAAATTATTCAATGCTGATATTTCTAATTTTCTAACTACGTTAGGTATTGAATATAATATTAAATATTTATAAAAGAAAAATGTTGATAAAAACTATATTTAATCCGATGTACCCTTTATTAACCATAATCGTATTTTGTAACTGAATCAACGAAACTGACTGTTTACCTGTTATTGTACTTTAAATTGTATTTTTTGTTCATTTAAATAAATTATCATAGAGATTCGTACATTTCTTTAAATAAAATTAACGACATCTTTAGCAACTTATCTTATGAAAAACTGTAGTTATACTTGCTGTTGGGGCTTTCGGGTGTAAGCCGTGTCCTAAAGGAAGCGATTTCCCAACGTTTCGCCAACATTGCAGCTAGCTTCACCAGGGGATACACTGATACTGGTGTGACTCGGGTTATGTCGCTACTTACATTGTGGTGCCATGCTCGTGTTTCGTATCGTTGACTGTTCCTGTTGGTTGCTTGCGCCCAATCAGAAAGTGGAACTTTTTAATTGTGAGCACAATCATTTCTGATGACGGGGGAGATTTCCCAGGAGGGATCGGAGAAGTGATACTTCTCTGTTTGTGATAGACATATAATGTGAGGCCAAAAATATGTTCAGAAAACTTGGAAAAGAAGTTTGCTATAACTTTCGCTTTCAAACAAATTGTGCAAATAAAGCCGTATGATATTTATTTCCAGAATTTTTTAAAAATTGTATGCATATTTAAAAAAACTTGTAGCGTTTAGATGTAACCGAAATTCATGACAAAATTTAAACAGGGTTTAAAAAATAGTTTCTCCGTGTAATTCAACTACAGAATGTTCCAAAAGACATGAAAATGGAATAAAACTAGTTCTAAATTGATAAATAAAATAAAATAAAGAACAATTTTCAATTATTATCCAGCATTTGACTTTTTCTGCTGACAATATAATTTTACCATGCGACGCTAAAGGTGAATGCCATCTCGAGCCGTATTTAAGAGAATGTGTAACATAAATTGCTTCGACGAACTGGAAGTTTTAATATTTCTAAACGTAACGTAACGAAACCTACTACACACAAGCACAAAAAGTAACTTCAATACTGGATCATGAACATTATGGAAGATTGCGGACATTGATAGATGTTGTCGTGTTGACAAACACTGTCATGTAAATATCGCTGCTCTGAGGAAAGAGTCTAACCCGATAAGGGAATCAAATGTTCCCTTGAATCAAATGAAAAACCCAATACGTCAGTTGGTAACACGTCTAGAAAAAACATCTCACAAAGGGAAAAAACGAAAGTCCAATTTTTGGCCCATTTTGCCTATTTAATTTCGTAAAAAAATTCTGAAAAAATTCTGAGACATTGAGGTCCTCGCATATTATAGAATTTTTTAAGTTTGTAAGAGCGAGCGGACAATGGTCGGAATTGGTTTAGGGCCACCATAAATTAAGGAGTCCCTCGAAGTGTTGCGGGACTAGGTTTGAAGGACACTTAGTTGATACTTTCCACGCCCGCAATACCGACGAGTTTGTATTTTTTCCAAAAGTGCAAAGTGGGGATGCGTTCCCCATAAAACCTTCGGGAAAGCTTGACGACAGGGAATTATGTTAAAGACATTTTGTGAGAACACGAAGAGAGAGATCCGATTATATTATTATTTGTTAAACCGTTCTATGTGTATTATTTTTAGCCATCCTTACAAGTTCTGTAATATATTGCTGACAACCTTATTATTGGCACGTAGGAGGCTATCCAGGGGCATCTGTCTAACCAACAGCCCCAATTAGTTGGAAAAGAAAAATGGACATTTTGACTCACACATATTTTTGGCAATAGGAAGTATTAACTCGAGCGATCACTCAGAACGATAGAGCTAAAGGACAAGGACAGTAGGCAAACGTTTCGAGTAATCATCTTGGCCGCCAGAACTTCGCATTACGACTGTTCAAAGTGGAGTAGGCAGTGTATCCCTTAAACCTGGGTTAGTATCTTACGCGCCAGAAATAGGGTTGCTATCACCTTTATTGTAATATATTGTAGGAATTAAATCAAAGATTTAAACAAAACACACAGAATAATTTATTTTAAACAGGCAAAACTGATATGCACAACAACCAAACTTTAAATTAACTATTTTTATGAAACTAATACAAACAAAAACGCTATTTCAAATGGTTTCTCAACAATTTTCCAGTATTTCTAGCCGTTCACGATCACTCTCTCGAAACTTTTTTTCGCCTCTGCAATTCGCTTTCTCAGATCGCCGTTTTCTTTTTTTTCCTCGCTTTCAATTTCAATACATCTCGATAACTCGCACACAACATTCACACCTATTAACAATCGATTCACTTCAACACAATATTCACGACTATTTACAATTCCACACTCCACAATATTAATATTTAAGTTTACAATAATCATCCAACATAAAATATAGCATATATCAGCCAACGGCCATACTAGTCAGGATATACCGGTTCTCGATTCGACCTCAAGACCTCGAGCCGAACGGTTGTAAGTACGGTCGCTCCGCAGGTACGAAAACGTGATCTCGTGAACGCGTTATTCGCTCGCCTGTTAAGTGAATCAGTGAAGCGACATATGAGGTGTCGTTGTTTAAGTGCTTCGTTTCTGGCGGGAGTTTTGTTTTTCCACCTGATACGTCAGTGTTTGTAACAGTGGAGAGTAACAGCAATGAACATCCCGCAGAGGGGAAAGCGGCGGTGGTGCAATACAACTTCGATGAGATTGCAAAAATTGTTACGGACGGAAGAATAAATAACAGAGGTCCTGTCCTAGACGTGGCTGGGATAGCCAAGCGACTAGTAGACGGACATGCCAAACATAAACTAAAATCACAACCCTCGCCGGCATCGACAGGGAGTCGGAAAGTGTCTGACAAAATCTTAACAATGAAGGCGAAAAAAACTATGCCACCTCAAGCGGCAAAACTCAGTGCAAAAAATGGAAGTAAACATTAGCTAAAATTACAAAAGAACTCGAGGCAGAGAAAGCCAAAAATGGAGGCATTAAAACTAAAACTGAAGCGGAAACAATGGACATTGACCTGCGCCCGGTGGTCATGCACGGCTCAGCTGGCGAAGAAACAGCAATTATGGGTCGCACATCCAAGGTGTCAAAAACAAAACGGTTAAGAGAGGCGGTCAGCAGCGAGGACCTGGAAGCAGGTATCCTACCGGGCCCTAGTTCGAGGCCAAGGATCGAGGCCCCTCCGAAAGGTCAGCGCCACGACGGTCAGCAGGATCGGAACTTCGTCAGCCCGGGAGAAGCAGTCGTCCAAGAAGACAGCGGTATTGTACGAGTTACCCCATACCCCAAGCGCGAAGAGTGCGGCGCGAGGCAAACCCCCCACGATTATTGTAGGGGATTCTCACCAAAAGGTCACGTACCGCCTGTTGAAGGAAACCCTAAATCTTCAAAATTTTAATATTAAGAGAATTTCGGCTAATAAACACCATGTTCAGCTAGAAAATTTAGATGAGTTTTACAAAACGTTAACGTTGTTCAAAGAAAGGGATATTAAGTACTTCACTTATACGCCAAAAAGTCTAAAACAACAGAATATCCTGCTTAAAGGTCTCGACCCGGGCTTCACCCAGGAAGAGATTAGTCAGGAGCTAGCGAACTTGAAGCTTAAAAATGTAAAAATTTCTAAGGTCACCCGTTTCGCAACCGAAAAATCAAAAAAGGAGAATAGACTTCTTCCGTTTTACCTCGTACAAATCACTCCTGACAGTGACCTAAGCGAACTTACTAATATAAAATACGTCCTCCACCAAGTAGTCAAATGGGAGGGTTTAATAAAAAAAAACCCGATAATTTGCGCGCGTTGCCAGAGAGAGGGCCACTCAGCGGGCAACTGTAGTTTAGATTTTAGATGCGCTAAATGCGCAGATAAATACGAACCCGGACAGTGCAAAATTAGCAAAGACGAAAAAATAGAGGCATCTAAATTATACTGCGTTAGATGTAAGAGTTACGGACACCCTGCGTCCTACAAGGGCTGCCCCAGGTATAGGGAGGCAAAATTAAAAGCTAAGGAAATATTAGATAAGAAACTAAACTTTAAAGATGCCAAACCGCACAGGAGCTACGCAAGCGTAGCTAGCGAGTAACCGACGGGCCCACAACAGAGCCAAAATCATAGTACCGCGCAAGATAAACAAAGCATTATCACTCAAATGCTCAGTAATAGGTCAACATTAAATCACACGCAAATACCTTTAGAAGCGCTATTTAACCCCTTAACCTACGATTCACGTTCGAGTGTTTCGGGCCCGAAACGTAAACAAATTCGCGCAACCTTCGAGCCATTCGCGCGACTTGTGTAGTACGCTGATCGAGCCTATTATCTCTTCGTATCGTGATCAGTTTCAAGTTATTCTTGGTCACTTTCGCACATCGAAATTTACTCTCATAAATTCTAGAGAAGCAGTCCCACAAGATGTTCTCAGGAAAAAGATTTCGTGATGAAAGCAGCGTGAATTGTGCTAATAATTTTGCTAACGAAAGTGACAGTAGTGACGATATATGTTGTGTTCGAAGAAAGTGTAGGCGATTAGTTATTGATGATACATCCGATGATCAACTACCAGAGTCCTGGCTTTGGACAAAAATAAGAAATAGTCAAAAAATCTGGGAGTATACGATGTCTCCTGGCATAAAAGAGGCAGCTTTATGTCAATTAGGAGGAGGTAGAAGAGAATTTGATATATTTAATCTAATATTTGATGACATATTCTGGAACAATATTGTAACTGAAACTAGCCAGTATGCAGATCAAATAAGAGCGAATCCACATAGTTCACGAGAAATCGACGAAACTTGGTTTCCTGTAGATTCTAGCGAAATTAAAAGATATTTGGTATTGACCATAATAATGGCACAGGTAAAAAAACCAAGAATACAAATGAATTGGTCGAAAAGGGCTGTTATCGAAACGCTGATATTTAGAAAATCAATGCCTTTGAAAAGATATCTGCAAATTACAAGGTGTTTGCATTTCTCAAACAATAATCTGGTTGCCAATACAGATAAATTGAGCAAGATTAAATCTGTGATCAATTTTTTGAACCAAAAATTTAAAGAAGTGTATATAATGAAAGAAGACATAGCTATTGATGAATCGCTCATGAAATTCAAGGGGCGCCTATCTTACAAGCAATTTAACCCATCAAAAAGAACACGGTTTGGCGTTAAATTTTATAAATTATGTGAGTCCGATTCAGGCTATTGTTACGAATTTAAAATATACACAGGCCACGATAAAACAAACTATGATGATAGCGCTTCGGAAAGTGTTGTCAAAGAGCTTTCTGAGTCAGTGTTGCATAGGGGTCACACTTTATACATTGACAACTGGTATTCTTCCCCAAGATTATTTATGACATTATCACATAAATATAAAACAAATGTAATTGGCACAGTACGTGGGAATAGAAAGCATATGCCAAAAGATTTGTGCAATGTAAAATTAAAAAGGGGGGAATACACGATAAGAAGCTGCAACCGAATACTCGCTATAAAATGGAAAGACAAGCGAGATGTATATATTATGTCGACGAAACATGAAACAGTCGAAATGACTGCACAAAGATACTATCGCACTCCAAAACCAAATTGTATTCTGGAGTATAACAAAGGAATGATTAGAATTGATCTCCAAGACCAGATACTAGCATGTTTTCCAGTTATGAGGAAATACATGAAAGGATATAAAAAAATTTTTTTTTATCTGTTTGGCATTGACCTTTTTAACTCTTACATTTTATGGAAAAAAATAAATAAGGAAAAGAAACAATGTTACATTGACTATAGGATCAACATAGCCGAATCTCTACTGAAGAATATGCCAAAACCGAATTATAGAGAACGAGGCGGATTATCTTTCGGAGATGCGCCAGAGAGACTACACGCGAAGCATTGGGCTCATTTTCCAAAGCACATTGATCCAACAGCATCCAAATTAAGACCGTCAAAACCTTGTAGAGTTTGCCAAAAAAATAAAAAACGTAGTGAAACAACGTGGGGGTGTAAGAAATGCAAAGTTCCTTTACATCTACCAATCTTTACATCTACCAGAATGCTTCGAATTATATCACACCATTGCAGATTATTAATTTTGTATTACTGTTTTTTGTACAAATAAACTTTTTGTAGTACTTGCATCTACCACAATTATTGCATCAAGCTGTAATTACATATCAAATATTCCAAAAATGTTTATAATTTTAAGAGGGCGCCGCCGCTAATATTTATATTTGACCCGATCATCGTACTACGGGCTATGCCCGTAATATTCACTTCTGGCCCGATCATCGTACACGGGCTATGCCCGTAATATTTACGTTTGGCCCGATCAGCGTACACGGGCTATGCCCGTAATATTTATTTTTGGCCCGATCAACGTACACGGGCTCTGCTCGTAGTTGTAGGTTAAGGGGTTAACGATATGAAGTCCTTTTCATTACAACAAGTCAATGCCCTTCAAATTCAAATCCATGCAAACACGAACAGGATAGAAAAACTTTTCAGTGCTTTCTATAGCACAAACACAGTAACCCCCGGCGAAGATTCCTGTAACCACAAAAATGGATATTAGCAGACAGATCAAAATTATCTCCGCGAATGTAAATTCCATAGTTTCCAACGAGAGGAGGCACAATATTCTGGAGCTGTTAAAGGCCGAGTGTCCAGACATCCTACTCCTTAACGAAACAAAGCTAAAGCCTCAACATTCCTTGAATTTCAAAAAATACACGCTTCTCAGAAATGATAGAGTCAACAGTAATGGTGGAGGTGTGGCTATATTAATTAAAAAACAAATACAACACGAGATCATTGACATCCCGCAGGAAATGAAAGTAATAGAGTGCCTATCAATTAAAATAAAACTTAAAAACAAAAAAAACATAATTGTCACCCAGCTGGATATGCGCCGGGTTCCCAAGCAGATGAATTCGTTAGCGAACTTGACTACCTGAGCAAAACTCTAGAGTGGGGAAACCCAAATAATTTCTATATTTTAGTGGGTGACCTTAACGCAAAGCACCCGGCATGGAACAACTCTTCCTTTAACGGTAGAGGCAGAGCGTTAAATAACTGGATCAACGACAATGTCTTGCAATAGAAAATCAAACTGCTTGCTACCAAGACCCCCACCTTTCCCCGTAGTAATGCCCACATTGATAGCAGATTAGATCTCAAAAACAGCGTAGACATGGACATCCCCACAATCGACTTCGACAGTGACCATCGCGCAATTAGTATATCGATAGTTTTACCCTATACAGAAGACCTTATACCTTTTGTGTCCCCGAAGCGTCCTCTTAACTACGCGAAGACGGACTGGAAGAAATTCCAAGCAGACTTAACAAACAGCTGGAACATAGAAGTACCTCTCGACAGAAACATTACAAATCAAGAGATAGACAGTTTACTGACAGAAACGACAAACACCATTTTACTAGCGATTAAAAGAAATGTACCGACCTTACCAGACTATAACTCGACGGAACTGTACTTAAACGCAGAAATCAGAAATCTATATAAGATAAAAAGCTCCCTATTAACGACATTTAATGACGCACGAAGACACCCCACAGCACATTCCACACATTCTATATCCACTGCCAAGTCGCTCCTGAAACAGTGTAAACAAAAAATCAAATATGAATTCCAAAAATCAGTCAACCAGCACTGGGAAAATAAAATTAGAAACATCCCGTTCGGTAGCCAAAAAACATTCCCAGAAGTCAATTCAATATTCAGAAAAAAGGATTCACTGGACATCCATCTACTGCTTATAAAAAAAGACAAAGAAAACCTATTACGGGAGGCTAACATTGATCCGTTTAGACAGCCAAAAAATTCAAAAGGACATTTCATCATTTTAAACAAAGCCCAAAAATTAAATGTCCTCGCATCCAACTTCGCGACGGCTAATGCAGGAAACAAGGGGTTGGGTAAACCGCGACTTTCCGAAATTATTGAAAGAGAATATAATACATTCATGGACAGCCTGAGAAGGGATACCGAAAATAATGACCACTTAACTAATTTCTCGAGCTCAAACTTAGCGAGCAACCCGACATTCGAATCCGATAGCAACTATGTACTTCACGACACCAGGATATACAGCGACACTATTCCGTAAGCTAAACTGCAAAAAATCGACGGGTCCGGACTAAATCTCCAATATAGTGCTCAAGAAGCTCCCCAACATAGCTATATTTGGTTACAGTATCATCTTCAACCACTGTCTAAATAATTGCTACTTCCCTGAAGACTGGAAACTAGCCAAAGTCATTCCTGAAGAAGTCATTCCCCAAGAATCCTGAAGATTCTAACAGCTATAGACCCATCAGTCTAATCTCAAACATCTCAAAAATCTTTGAAATCCTCATTAAGAAACGCTTTGAAAAATTCTTAGAGGTGAACAGATCAATTCTCGACACCCAGTTCGGATTCAGACATAAACATAGTACAGTCCACGCGCTACATAAATTTATGTCAGATTTACAGCATGCGTTGTTTAAAAAGAACAGTGTAGCTGCATGCCTAATAGACATTGAGAAAGCGTTTGACACCGTGTGGATTCAAGGATTAATCTTTAAGCTACTAAAAAAGAAATGTCCCATTCACCTGGTGAAGATCATAGCCAACATGATACATGAAAAAAGTTTTTCACAGAATGTAATGGCGCCCAATCTGACCTGACACTGCAACTCGAAAATGGTCTCCAGCAAGGTATGATCACAGCGCCCATTTTATTTAACTTTTATAATTCCGAACTCCCGCAACTTTTTGATTTACCTTCTTTGCAGTCCATCAAAACAATACAATTTGTGGACGATCTACATCTACAATGTAATGAAAATATAATTAAAAATGTAATGAAAATTTCTGATTTAATATACTCCGAAATAATTCTTTCTCTACTCAATGCCTATCTTTTTTCTTTATCTTATAAAGGAAATAAAACAGAATAATTTTAGTACACAGGGTAAACACTGAAAAACAAATTTGGCACAATGTGTTACCAGCCAACGGCCATACTAGTCAGGATATACCGGTTCTCGTCCGATCACCGAAGTCAAGCTGAGTTGGGCGCGGATAGTACTTGGATGGGTGACCGCTTGGGAACTCCGCGTGCTGTTGGCTTTTTTTATTTTTTTTCTGTTCTTGAATGAAAAGTTCAAATAATTTAATTCGTTTAAAGCTTTTTTTACTCTGCTTAACCCTTTCGCTTCGAGCGCCGGATATATCCGGCATCCGCGCGGCGACTTGTGCGTACGAGCGCCGGATATATTCGGCATCCACATGATGTGTATACAAGTACCATCTGTGGTCAATGAC